AAGAATTCACCCTATTCCTAACCAGTGGCCAAAGACAGGTAAGAGGGATTCATCTTCTGAGGCTATGAACAAAGTTATCCTACCACAGCCTAGTATTTAAAAATGATCCTAGGAAACAATCCCGTCATTCAAAGCGATGCGAATGAAATCTGGGGTGGTTATATAAACATCAGGTAATACAGACATAAGAATAAGGAAATTATGAGAACTGGTAAGGGATAGACCACACACTGAGAGTAGGGTCAGTTTATCATGTCCCTAAACGGCAATGTGCACATATGTACTTGGTAACAGCACATCAAATGCATAAGGCAAAAATGATGCACTTGTCCCCATCTCTCACCTCTGCAGCCTGCCTCTGCACATGGATGGTTCCTTTGCTGTACAGGTGGACTGGAGGCTCCATGAGCTCCTATTCATCAGTGGTCGCTCTAGATGCCTGAGCTGTAGGGGTCCTGTTCACAAAGTCCTCTCCTGTGTCAGCAAATTTACCTGGATTCCCTTCTTCCCATTTCTGTTAAAATGAGAATATCAGGTCTTAGGCTGAGGAACTTGGCACACTTGGAGTTGAGTTTCATGCAGGGTGAAAGATGGCATATTGAAGATGTCATCTTTTCTCTGGTCTGTATATTTGGCCTCTGTCAAAAATCAGTTGGCACAAGGTTCATGCGCTTAGCTGCAGTCCTCAAGGCTAGTTCTTCGATCCAGGTGAATGTTTTTAAGTCAGTTACCCTGTTTTTCGCCTTTCTCATTACTACAGCTCTGTGGTCTAACTTGAAATCGAGATGGTGTTACCTGCAGCAAGTGGTTTTCATTTTGAATTGTTCAGGGATGTTTGGGCCAGTATTGTTTTTTTTTTTCTCTTCAAAAAGAAATTTAACATTATCCTTTTCAATTTCTCTATGGGGAATTGTGTCAGGATTCATAGGAACTGTGTTGAATCTGTAAGATTACTTTTTGTAGGATGGCCATTTTCACAGCCTCACTCCTACAAAGAGTAGTGTATAGTGTAGCAGGAGACAGTGCTCAGCACAGAGACCACAAACTGTCAAACTGTAGAGAAGAGACCATGGAGCACTAAGTTCCGCATGACATCTGTCACTCCTCCAGCCCCTACCCAAGACTCAGGGACTGTGTGGAAGAGGGGTAGGAGAGATCTAGGGCCCAGAGGCAGTGTCTGACTGACTGCCTAAAGGAAACAGCATTCTCCAGACCGAGCGGGGTGCTTAGACAGAGGAGCCCACAATGGCGGTGCCAGCATGTACGAGGCCTGCTCAAGCTCCAGTCAATACTTAGCGTGAAGAGGGAAGCATGAAGGCCGAGCTCAAGCTGATGAACCACTGGCAAAGAGAGCTACCAGGATGAGGAGAGTCAGTTATCTTAAGGGGTGTGGCCTCCAGTAGGCCAACCATGTCTTAGTAGAGAGCTACTCTACCGAATACATTGGCATGGAACAGCTTGGGCCCAAAGTTGGGTGGGTAGGAAAGCAGGTGAATCTGGGAAGTTTTGGGAGGGGGTTGACTATGATCAAAATACATTGTATGAAATTCTCAAAAAACTTACAAAAAAATCAGAAAAACATCAATAAAATCAAGAGGTATTTTGTTTTAAATCTACTAAATTAAAGACCTCTAAGACTCTACCATGGAAGGAAATCAATCAATACGTACACTGGAAACAGCATTCTGCTCATAATGCTGTCAAGTGGTTTGAAAAGGACCAACTTTGCATATTCAAGGTTAAAATCAAAAAGCTCAGCTGAAAGGAAACATCTAGAAAAACTCCAAATTATTAAGGAAATTGCATTCCAAGTTAAAGGTCTTTCTCCAAGAAAATTACAGGTAAAAGTGGGTTTATTGGCAAATTCTACCAACATTTAAGAAATACATAAAACATGTTTTATACAATTTGACTACAAAATAAAGAAAGGAGTGGCTATCCTTCTATAGTGATAGAATCAGCATGACCGTCAAGGTAAAGGCATCGCTTGAAGAAAAGGCAGAATGGGAGCAGTTCTATGAGAATAGGTGGATGCACCTGCAGATCACAGCAAGCAGCTCCCAGCAACAAGTAAAGAGGACACCACATGGCCACCACGCAGGGCTTACCCAGAGAGAGCAGATTAGTTCATAGCTTTTAAATCAACACATAATTAATCATCCAAAAATATAAGATGTAGGAAACCATGTGACATATTTATAATAAATGTCAGAAAATGAGAACTAAGAGATAATTCTTCAACCTGATAGAAGGTTTTCTCTTTAAACTTCATAGGTGACAAACATCCTCACTAACGGTAAAGGGATGAAAGTGCCCTTAAGTTTGTTTTGTAGATCCATGTAGAATTCCGCAATCTACAACAAAGTGCCCAAGACTCATGATAAATTTAGCAAGGTTGCTGAGCCAACTTTTATTATATCAAAATCAATGGTCTTCTACACGCCAATAACAAACAATTAAATTTTAATTTACTTAAAGGAACATTAATAATTGTACCCCTAAAAGGAAACAATTAGGTACAAATCTAATAAAATACCTTTACTACTGTGTATTGAGCTCTATCAAATGTTGATGAGATAAATGTATCAAGCACAAAAGCAATTTATTGCGCCTAATACATGAAAGATTAGATACTATTGAGACACAAATTCTGCTCCAAGTGACTCACAGTGTCAATGCAGTCCTAATTAAAACCACAGAGATTTTTGTAGATATTAATAAACTGTTTTCATAATCTATATGGAAAAGTAAGGGAAAAGAAAAGCCAAAACAAGCTCTAGGAAGCTCAAACGGAAGACCAGGCTGTATGTTTTCACAGGGCACTATGCATCTGGAACAATCAGCAGTACACTGTGCTGGGGATCTGGCAGGCATATTGGTAAATTCAGCAGAAAAATCAAAAGTGCCCCCTAAAGTATGTTTATATACACTTTTCACAACATTCTTACGCTTTCAGTAGAAAAAATAGTCACTGCAATAAATCGAGACGGAACTACAAAATACTTATAAAACAACACGAAATAAAATTAACACGAACTTGTCCCACACATCAGTTTAATTGGCACAGTTATAAATTCAAAATATAATCTGACAAATGTTCTAGAAGAAGAAGAATTGGAGGAATATAAAATTTATTTTAGGAGTTTTTTTTTCCTTCCCACCTCTAGTCAAGAGCTCACATAGCCTAAGATGGTCTTGAATTCCTATGTAGTAGAGAAGCAACTCCTGAGCTAGGTAAAGTGGAGTTCTTGTGTTTAATACCAAGTGTACAAGCCAAATCCACTGAAATGCAAGTCTTCTGTTCTGTATAAGACACAACCAAACTGACAAGAATGGATACTACACTTGATCTTAGCCAAAAGTCCAAGAAGCAATGGCTCAGCAGTTAAGAGGAGCACTGGCTGCTCTTCCAGAGGTTCTGAGTTCAATTCTCAGCAACCACATGGTGGCTCACAACCATCTATAATGAGATCTGGTGTCTTCTCCTGGTGTGCAGGCATACCTGCAGGCAGAACACTGTATACATAATAAATAAATCTTTCATTTTTTTTTGAGTAGTGAGAGAACTTTTTTATTTTTTATTTTTTGATTTTCAATTAACAGCGTTTATTTTCCAGCATATGATTTGTGGATAGATATGCTCACTTTTGAAAAGAGGAGTAAAAAGTACTCTGAAGTGTATTTTGTGGAAACCCTCTTTTATGGAGTTCTTTTTTTTTTCCATTAAAAAATTTACACTTCCTCCCCTCCTCCCATTCCCCTCCAGGCTCTCAGCTTACCCACTCCCTCTCCTCCCTCCCCCTCCCTGCTTGAGAGCATGCAGGGAACCCTGCCCTGTGGGAAGCCCAAGGCCCCCCACTCTACATCCAGGCCTAGGAAGCTGTGCATCCAAATAGACAAGGGTCCCCAAAAGCCAGTACATGCAGTAAAAACAAGTCCCAGTGCCTTTATCAATGGCTTCTCAGTCAGCCCCCATTGTCAGCCACCATCAGAGAGTCCGGTTTGATAGCATGCTCCTTCAGTCCCGGTCCAGCTGTATTTGGTGAGCTCCCATTAGAACAGGCACACTGCCTCAGTGGGTGGACCAATCCCTCGTGGTCCTGACTTCCTTTCTCATCTTCTCCCTTTTTCTGCCCTTCAACTGGACCTTGGGAGCTCAGTCCTTGTTCTGATGAAGGTCTCTGTCTAAAGGAACTTCCCTGACTTCAAACTCTATTACAGAGCTACAGTAATGAAAGCAGTTTGTTACTGGCATAAAAACAGAGACGTTGACCAATGGAATCGAATTAAAGACCCGGATATTAACCCACAAACCTATGAACACCTGATTTTCGATAAAGGAACTAAAAGTATACAATAGAAGAAAGAAAGCATCTTCAACAAATGGTGCTGGCATAACTGGATGTCAACCTGTAGAAGAATGAAAATAGATCCATATCTATCACCATGTACAAAACTCAAGTCCAAATGGATTAAAGACCTCAATATAAATCCGGCCACACTGAACCTGATAGAAGAGAAAGTGGGAAGTAGTCTGCAACACATGGGCACAGGAGACCACTTCCTACGTATAACTCCAGTAGCACAGATAACAAGAGCAACACTGAATAAATGAGACCTCCTGAAACTGAGAAGCTTCTGTAATACAAAGGACACTGCCATTAAGACAAAAAGGCAACCTAATGAATGGGAGAAGATCTTCACCAACCCTGCATCAGACAAAGGCCTGATCTCCAAAATATATAAAGAACTCAAGAAACTAGACATCAAAATTCTAATTAACCCAATTAAAAAATGGGGTACTGAACTGAACAGAGAATTCTCAACAGAAGAAGTTTAAATGGGAAAGGACACTTAAGGTCATGCTCAACCTCCTTAGCAATCAGGGAAACACAAATCAAAACAACTTTGAGATACCATCTTACACCTGTCAGAATGGCTAAAATCAAAAACACCAACGATAGCCTATAAATAAATCTGACATTAAGCTTTATTACTGCTAACACTGGGTTATTATTACTATTTTTGAGTGTTTTCCTTGTGCAGAGGCCATGCTAATAGTCTCTGTATCATTACAATTCTAATACATATGCTGCCAAAGCAAGCACTTATTCTAATTTTTAGTTTATTTGTTGATAAAGAGCCTCACTATGTTGCCCTTGCTCTCCTGAAATTTGCTCTGCAGACCAGGCTGGCCTTGAATTTATAGAGCCATGTCTCCAGCCCCAAATCTGAATTAATAAAGGCCTCACTTTCAACCGCTGGTAATTTCTGAGCAAGGAAAGGGTAAAGAAAGGGATTCTATTAAAACTCTGATAAAATTGTTAGCAGCTATCCAAACACTGTTTGCTCTATTTATCTGAGACCTATTTTTAGCTTTAGGGCAATCTGAGATAGAGAAATCAAATATTTTCAAAGAGATTCAGTTATAAAGTGGTCATTCTAGTTAAAATCAGAATTTTGCTTCACAAAAGAATTCACTAAAGGACACATTCAAATAAAGAGGCCCTCTTGCATTCAAATTCTTACATTCAGATGTCTGTTAATAGATGACTAGGCAAGAGATATGGAATCAGGAAATCAGGTTTTAATGCTTCTGGTATGCAGTGTAGATTATCCGAGAAATATAAGAAATTTGATATGCACCCATACTTACAGCAGCCTTTAAGTGAGATTTTCATGGCTAACCTGATTTCTTTGATATTTGCTTCCATTTTTTATGATCAAAGTTGTTTAGATTGACTGATAAAAAGCTGGGTACCTTGATGTAATATCATGGATTATAGGCATTGAAATGTCACTTGGAGTATCTTCCGCAGTGCTGACTTGGGTTCCATTGCTTTTCGTGCAGGCATCTTTTGTACAGACTTCCACCTAAAAAGATTAGTTTGGAAAGGAATAAATATAATCATCTTCAAAACAGACCGGCAACAGACTGAATCCACCTTCCCTTTCTTCATATGAATCTCTTCAAGTCTGCTATAGCCTCAAGGGGCTTAGGAAATATTCTTCTTTTTGATTTGAATTGAATCCAGTGGGATGAACTCAGAACAGCATATGGAATTGGGCTCAGGACTCAGGACAGTTGATTTAGTGATTAACGTGGCGATGTTTGGTCTCCGGTTCTGACCATTCACTAAGAGAAGGGCTTATTAATCTATTCAGAGTAGTCAAAGGATGGGGGCACTTCGGTGGTGATTCACAAGCCTAATAGGTTATCCTTGCATAGCGCTCTCCAGATCTATAACCACGTGCTGTAATGATGATATCTCCTGGAAGTCTTGACACTTTGCAACAAATTGCCCAAATGCTAATGTCTAATGGGAGAAAAATGAAGCCCAGGAAAGCCTCCCAATAGGGCCGAGCTATTTTATATCCATTTGTTCCAGCAGCAATAGTATTGTCCCTTTAATCAAGCAGGCGATCATCACTCACCCCTTTAATTCTGCCACCTAGTTAGAATAAAAACTGAGAGGGTGGAAGAACTTAGGATTGGAAATGGGACCCATCAAACATCAGTAACCCAAAGGAGTGTATCCGGTGGCTGGGAGGAGAGCAGCGGATACACAGGAGATATCTGGTGGACCACCCACTGCATGTAGCATTTAGGGGTAAACTCGGCTGTATTTCTTTTTATAAAAGATTTATTTTAAAAATGTGTGTGTCTCATCAGAAGTGTTTCATGTGCTTGCTGGTGCCTGTGGAGGTGAGGAGGGGTGTCAGATTCCCCCGGAATTGGAGTTCTGTGTGGGTGTGAGCTACCTGATGTGACAGCTGGGAATGAGATCTCAGTCCTCTGAGAGAGCAGCAAGTGTTCTTAACCACAGAGCCCTCTCTCCGGCCCCTGAACTATACCTTTCTTGTGCTGACTGACATTCAATGTCTTAGACACCAAGGTAAGAGAATGTATTCTGGTGCTGCGGTTTTACGCCAAACCATCCTCCAAGTCTTTGCATCAGAACTTGGAGCCAGATAGATGAGATCCACACTACAGTTTGGAGACATCATCTTGTTCCCAGAACTGTTGGGTCTAAACAGGAACTGAACAAGTTTTCTACAGTGTACCATCAAATTATTGAAAATTGCAATGGTGCCTTTTGTGATAACATCTTATAGACTTAAACATCATTAAGATCCTCCACTATGATTAAGTACAAACAAGAAATATCTTTAAGATAGATTATCTTAAAAATACGATGTGATAGAAATCATAATATAAATTTTACGCAAATTGGAAAGTGCCGCGCTTTGGTACACAATGGGATTAACCTGAGTAACCCAACCAAATTCATTATGTCTTCAGTATACACAATATATTCCTGATGGACTCTTGACCAAAGAACTTTTCACTGCCTTCTGGACGTCATGATCATAGTTCAGGTTTGTAGGGTGAGTGATGCATTTTGACAGGTCATTACATGTCATGTGTTACAGCACGCAATGAACAGTCAGTGGAGGGAATGGTGCTGCCTCCTAGCTTCTTCTTGCTTGGAGCTTGAGTTCATCCCTTCTAGCTAACAATAAAGTAGAATATTGTGGAATTAGCCCCTACTCTGCTTAACAACACCAGAACTCACTGCTCCTCAGTTTGGGTGCCTGTGACCCAGGCTCTCTCTGTTCCCAACTGCCATTATGTCTGACCTCTAGTCAAATCCATTCTGCGTTCACATTCATTATTCTTTAGCTTGAACACGTGAGGAGTCCTCAGACCTCCATTTTAGCAAGTCTGTAAAGAAGGAGGCAGAGAAACCAGGAGACCCGGAAGGCAGTCAGATGGTCTGATATTTGTTTGGGGCTTCCCTGCATCCTACTGCTTTCTCAGCTAAATATTCCATTTAAATGGAAGGACAAAGCTACTTGGGTCTATTTGTGTTTCTCCAAAATACTTTGTTGACGCTGGGAAATCACAGCACTGTGTTTCGTTCTTTCTGATTTACATTCCCAGGCTCTACCCCTAGTCTCTCTCTACTATAACATGTGAATGAAATCTACATATTGGGGTTTAACATGTTTACTTGAAAAGACCTTAAAAATCAAGTCTTAAAATTAAAGTTATGATTCCCTTCGAAACGGTAACATAAAAGTGAGATACCTGGGTATTTGATCAGCTTTAAAGTCAATTGTTGTTTTGTGGAAGAGGTTAACCTAGAGAAGTTTCATTCAAAATATTGGGTATATTTGTTTAATGCTGACTTAAATGACGTTTGACTTCATAAAAAAGGCACTAAAATTTTACTTTCAAATTTCCAGCCACGCATAAATATGCCAATTGTGATAATACTAGACTACAAAAAAAAAAAAAAAGTCCACAGTGTAGACAGTAAGGAAAAAAACTCAAATTTTGGGTTCAGTTTTGACATTCTGTCTTTGTTTCAAAGACATAAGTCTGGTTGAAACGTGTTTTCTTCTGGCTGCACCTGAACCAATCCATCAGGGTAAGCGAGGGTTTCCACATCACTGAAAGGGCATGCAATGTCATAGCTTGGCCTTGTTCTACAGCCAAGACTGAGCTGCACATGCGTGTGCAGCCTCAGCGTTCTCATCGCCAGCCTGCACTCTGCAAATCAGCTTTGTAGCTACATATGTATATAGGAATGCATAAATTCACTTATTTTGGGGGGTGTGTGTACACGCACGTGTGTGTGTGTGTGTGTATGAAGGCCAGAAGAGGGTATTAAGATCTCTTAGAGTTGGCATTTAAGACATTTTTAAGAAACATGGATGGAACTGCGGGTGTTAAAACCCAACAGGGGTCCTCAGGAGAGCACAAGAAGCAGGCTTAACCACTGAGCCACCTTGCCAGCTCCAGCCTTTCAGATTTTAAATGCAAATGATCCAGCTTCACTCTAGAACTCAGTCTTATCCTGCAGCAGGGGCCCAAAGAAGACCTCACGCCAAAGCCTCCATTGCTGCCCTGAGCTCTTTGCTCACAAAAGCTGTAACCGTTATGACTTGAGGCCTGACTTCTGTATGTGGTCCACTTATCAGCGTGGGCTCTTCTTAGGCTTGAGAGTGCAAATGTCAGCCCACGCGTGCCACGCTAATGCGCTCACATAGGTTGCTGGAACTGAAAACACAACCCACAAAGTTTTCTTTCCGTGTCTAGTGTTTCCTTTTTCCCCTCTGTCTATTGTTGCTTATGAAGCCAAGTCCATGGGTCACAGTAGGGATGGCCAGAGTATTGTAGCCAAATAAACATGCTTCACTCTCAGACATGGGAAAACGACATGTAACATGGGCAGACATAGCACTCCCGGCAAAACGTTGCTGGGGTCGAATAAAATTCCTGCATTTAATGCCTTTTGGAAATTATTCATGAAACGCTCATGAATTTTAGAAGTTGCATAGATTATTTAAAAATTTACTAAATTGCAGTCTTCTCTATAAATGCTGAGTTTCTGAAATCTGTTCTTCACTCATTTATTCCCTTGGCCTTGTTATCTCGTGTGTCTGACATTCATACAAGATTTTTCAGCTCCTGCAGGACATTAGATTTCATATACTCCTGGGCTCTGCTATTCTTCCTATTTCAGAGTCAGTAGACCTTGGTGAGGTCCAAAGGCTTGGCCTCAGATAGACAGTGAACTCTCTGAATTTTGTGATAAATTTGCCATGTCAGTGTATAAGTAAATATTCTTCTAGGGAAGGCGGCATGGACTTAGAAGGTCCCAGACTCCCAAGTACAAATGATTTGAATGCAGCCCTGCCACACATGTGAGGCTGAGGAGCGATTGCTGCGTGCCGAACAGACTCATTCCTTCCGTCCTCGGCTAAAATCCTGTAGAGTGTTTATAAAACTTTTTATGTTTTCCTGTTGCATTCAGAATCAGAAATGCTAGTGGAGGCCAGAATATTTCACATTAACCATGCCTTGCCTTTACAAAAGGGACAGCTGACACCCAGTGAGCTATGCTACTTCCCCGAGTAAGTGGCAGAAAAAAAACAAAACAAGCAAACGAAAACAAGAGACAAATCTCTTCATCTACAAGTTAATTCTGATTTTGATGCCAATAAAAGGTCGAGAAAGAAGATAAACTGGAAAGACTGGATTTTGGTGACTGTTTGACCAACTTCACTTCGCCGGTGGGCTTTTTATCATCTCTCTCAC